AAGAAAGTGACTTTAGAATTTGTCATTTTGTTAAGCTCCCTTTTGGTTTTGGTTTTGAAATAAAGTTGAAGCACGAGATATGGAGATTCCTGTGTAAACCACAGCCTAAAGGCAGATTTCTTTCCGACATGGAGATTTTTCTTTGATCATTTTTAGGTCCAAAAGGAATCACACACACACACACACACATTCTTGATTTGTTGTCCTATGAGAATAGATTCCTCGAACGATAGGTGGATGATAATATAGGGAGATGCTACAGTCTCGTTTAAGAACCATTCTGTCGGGGTTTGTAACCGTTAGATCAACTATCTCTGACGGTTATCTGATAATCTAACGGTTATAAACCCCAACAGAATAGTTCCGTAACGGGACCGTAGCATTTCCTAATAATATATAAGTACAATTTTTCAGTTTTATTTTACCTTCCATCTTTTCTTTTCTTACCATCCTTTTGGGCACTGATGATAAGCAAGCACATAAATGAATGATGATAATTATATTTTGTACTTCCATCCCTCCATAAATTTAATTATAAGTGAGTTGTCATTTTTTTTTTTAAAAAGAACTTACTAACTTTTTTTTTTTATTTATTGTCTATTTTTTTTCCATGATACATTAAACTAATCATGGTTTTTTTACTCTCTTTAATCAATATGAACTAGAAAGGTAAAAAAATACTTTATCAATGAAAAATAGATTAAGATATTAATTCTAATTGGCAGATAATTTCAGGTGTTACATGAAAAAATTTGACAAAATTTCATGCAACACATGGTTAAACTAATATGGTTATTAAAAAATTATTATGGTCTTGTTGAGTGTTATTTTGAATAAAACTAAATTATTTTCATACATAATGTAAATATATATAATTAACTATTTAATTGATGATGATATTTATTTAACATCAATTCAAAAAAGAATTTATTTTTTTATTGATTCTAATTTGTTTTGTGAAAAATCATGTAACACACAGGTCTTAATGTAATGTGATTGGGAATTTGTAACACACAGGTCTTAATGTAATGTGATTGGGAATTTGTAACACATAGGTTTTATGCACACATTGGTAGTGTATTTTTTTAACATATTAACATCACCAATGTGTGCATGCCACATAAGCGGTTGATATATTAACATGTGCCCACCGTGGATAGAAGAACATTACTGTATAAAAATATATAAGACTTCACATAACAATATTGAATGTTGTTGTAGTTAATTTCAATATTTTTAATAATTTTGGTTCTAATCTGACAACAAAAAGTTAATTTCAATATTATTAATAATCATTCCTTATATATTAATTCAAAATGTGTTGAGCATAAGTGGCAGATTCTCACGCTTCGGATGCTGACATTGCGAAAATCTATGTTTCGTGATTTTTTTTATATTATTTTTGCTCTGGAGATTAGGGTTGGTATTAGACATAAACTATTATTATCATATATTATTTCTTTAATCAACACCCGTATTGTACACGGATAGTAGTGTACTAATATCTTTTTATTTCCAAACCCTATCTAGTATAGTACTCCATTTTTCAATGGGTGAAATTATATTAATACACCATAAACAAGGCTAACAATGTTTTCTACACAATCATAAATGTTGCAATTGTTTATTTATGTAGAGATGGGTGCTTGAATTGACCACCCAACCAAAAAAAAAAAAGAGAGCACTATAATATAAATAATAAATGAAGGCAAAAGGTTTGCATGTGCTACAGCATGTGATTTTGATGCTACAAAACAAAATGGAGGTAGATATAGTGTCACATATATATGTGATATGTTTGAGTCCCACATTTTTAATATCCCCATTTTCTATAACTAAAATTATTTTTTTGAGAATTCAAGGGCTACACATTTATAATTTCTATAATAAAAATATTATATTTTTAAAAATAATATATATAAATTATGTTATTTCGTGCATATTTAATCTGAAAAGTGTAGTAATTAGACGGTCTAATAACGATATTTAAATTGTATTTTATGTTGCTTAACCATTTTATGTTGCTTAATCTGAAAAGTGAATATTTAATTTGAAAAATCCTTTTTTTTTTTCACTTATACTCCGCCATGCATGAGTATATAGATATCCATTAATCCATATATAACAAATATAACCCATACTTTGAGTCTTGAACTCGCGCGAGCTCTTGATATTCGAGGTCGGGCTTAATACTTTATAGGGTCGAGTCGAATTTTGCTGGTTAATTAATCGAACCCATAAAAAAGTTCAAGGTTGGCGTGAATTCAAATCTTAAAAAGTTGTACTCGAGCTTTAAAGGACATAGTTGATTTAATAATTGAAGAACTTATGTAAACACAAAAATTTTGTAAGCTAGCGAGCCTTACGAGCTAAGTTTGATTAAACGAGCAGCTCGATTGATTTAACAACTCTAAATATACACAATCAAATTAGCATAGTTATCATACTTATATTTTGTAGGTTGAACCGAATCATTCTTCTATATATTTTAATATATAGTTATATGCAATCAAACTTTATATATTTTAATATATAGTTATATACAATCAAACTAACATAATTATCATAATTTTTTTTTTAATAAGTTCGATGTAGGACTTCCTCAAAGACCACCGGGCCAACACCCGGATCAGCATATCCTAAGTTAGTTGAATTTCATTAAATATTTTATTAAATCAATAAAAGTTAAGGATGGATTTACAATTTCATGTTGCCAAAAAGAACAAAAGTGTGTAAAATATCAACCAAGGTTGGTTGCCTTCTAAAGTAAATTATTAGATATGGACTCTATGTAAGAATGGCATTTAATTTGATAGGTCATCTAAATTAAAATTATTAATTATAACAATATGTTAATGTAACGAATATACCTAGAGATAAAGGTGTGAACGAGCCGAGTCAACTTCATTAACTAAGCAAGATCGATTGTAAGATTCGGGAGAAACAGGTGCGGTCCCACGCACCATATATAAAAGGATGAATCTAGATTCATCATAGTGAGTGACCGCGCGTCGCAACGCGGCAAAATTAATATTTATATTTTTCCTCGACAAACCTCTACTAACTAGTAGTAGTGGCGAGCAAGGGTCGAACCCACAGGGAGTGTGAATCAAATTGTGAATTTTCTTGTATTAATTGAATTTATAAAAACGGTAAATGGGGGGATTGGGTTTTGATAATTAAACAAACTAAAAATCCTAAAACTATAAAGAAAGAAAATAAAAATAAATATAAAATAAATAAGAGAAATTTCTAGTTCACGGTTCCGTCTACACCCTCGACTGACTCATCTAATCA